AGATGAAACTTGGGAAATTGTGAATATTCTATGTAACTAAGGTTTTAAGCTACTGAAGAAAAAGTAACCTAAGAAACTAGATACCTACAAGGTCAAAATTTTATGTTGAATACAAACTATTCCTATGGCAAATGATCCCTTAAAGACATTGCTGGGGATAAGAACACGGAGGAAGATCATGTCTTTGTACAGAAATGCTACAGTTGGGTTTTGCACATGGCATAGTTTCTATCTCTACTCCAGATTACTCATGAGTATAGAAGCCAGGTGGGTGAAATAGTAGATGGGGGAGAAACAGCGCGCCAGCTGGCAAAGCAGCACGTCTTAAGTAAGGGGAGCTGCTGACAAGATTTTCTGCCAAGCTGCTGCTAAACCCCAAAGAAACAAAATTTGTCTCCAAGATATAAAAGTTAGAGAATCTAGGTTTGCAGTTACTATATATATAAAGGTATCCAAAACTTCCAATGTGCCTGAGTTGACATGGAACTCCCCTTACCTACATCAAATACAGAGAAACACTGGGAAAACTATAATCCAACAACTACACACATTCCCATACACATGCATGCTAGGTCCCAGTGTGAAAATAAAGACAGAACCTAAATTAGAGCAGTGAAAAGGAGTTGGGGCCAAAGGATTCTTAGGAAAGATTGGAACTTAGTGAATATCTGAATTGCTGGTGGCTAAGCCTTTGACCAACACTGTAGCACCTGTACACACAGGAGCTGGAACCCAGTCACTTTCCGAAAGCAAGAAGGCACATGGGATTTGTTTAGATACATGTTCAGAATTAGATTCATCAGGATCACTCTCCAGGAAGGTGACAAGGGGACGTAGATGCTGCTTGGGGACCAGAGGAGGAAAGGGTCAAAGATAGAGCTCCAGGCTGATGCTCAGCACAAGTTCTAAGCTAGAGTTGTTCTAGCCTTATGGCATAGTGTCCCAAGTTTACATAATGATATGCCAACCAGTCTTGGGCCAGCAACATGCAAATTGCCCTTAGCAGAAGTGCACATAAAAGCTGCCTGTAGAGATGCCCCAACAAGTCATACATCATAAAGGAGATGTCTAATAACTTTGACTTCCAGACAATTTAAAATTCTTTTGAAAGTACAGGCATTACTGGAAAAATTAAGATAAGTGACCAATGATGGAAATATTTACATTTTGTATAACTCATAAGAAAGAAATAATGTCCACAATTTATAAAGAACGTTTATAGATAAAAAAAAAAAAAGTGGATTAAAAAGTATGAAAAAAATTCCGAGTAAAGAACCTTCCTGATAAACATGGAGTTTCAGTCTTACAATTAATCATGAGAATACAAATTAAAACATTAATAAGATGATTTTGATAGACTGACAAAAGTCAAAAAGCAAAGTTAAAATATTTTATGAAATCAAAAACTTTACAGACTTGCAACATATTAATTTTCCTCCTAGGTGTCCCCTAGAGAAAGCTACCAAACAAGTGCAAGTTGGCTGGAGCAGCAAACCTTGCCAGAACAAAATCCTGAAAACTCAGATGTCAACCAGTAAGAGAACAGATGACTGACAGCCTAGTTCCACTGTGGAACACTGAATAGCAATTAAAAGGAGTGAACCAGGTCTGTATGTACTAACATGAGTATCTCCAAAAAAAAAAGGCAAACTTGTTAGAGACTTCCAGACCCAGGCCCATGAGAGTATTTTAGGCATGGCAAGCCAAGACACTATGGCAAAAAAAAAAAAAAAAAAAAAAAAAAAAAACAACATGGCCTTGTGGCCTCCACCCTGCCTCTGCTTTCCTGCCTGTATGCTTGCTCCATGTGGCACCAGGCCTGCTCTCTGCCTGGCATGGACCCAACTTAGCTTCTAGACTTATTCCTCTCCTAATTAAAACCCTCACTTTTCTGTGCATTTCTCTCACTGAATTAAATGTTTTAAAACTTTAAAAAAAAAGGCATAAGGTTGAATGAAAATGTCTTTGTTGCAGAATGATACAACAGTATTCATGAAAAACATTGAAATCACAAACTATGCTAACTGCTAACATATTAAAATCAAGGTATAACCTGGAAAGATATGAATAAAATTCATGAATTGTGATTAGTTCTGGGGACATTTAGAAGGGAGCAGGTAATGAATAAGGCCTCAAAAGAGGACTTTATCTCCCATATTGTACTTATTTGTAACTGTAAATCTGAAACAAATGAAAAAATTTAAATTTTCAATGCTAGGTGATGTGTACTTGTGTGTTTACTGCATCAATTTCTATACGTAAAATATCTAAAAGTTAAATGTATTTAAAAAAAATAATAAAGGTAAGTTGTATGACTTGGTCCTCCATGGCTAGTGGACGTTGGCCACAAAGCTGGCTTGGGGTATTCCAAAAAACACCATCCTGCCCCCCAGACTCCATAAATAAAATACCACGTTGACAGGGCACTTCCCATTATCAATTATAGGACAGTGAAATAACACTGCAAGCAACTTAGTACTCCACATTCTAGCAATGGCTGGCCTGAAATCTTCTCAACCTTGACCGACTTAATGCCTGTGGTAGAGATGCAAATAAGGAAAACATCTCTAAGAGTAACATGTATGACTAAGGACATTAAAACTCCTGTCAGCCTGAGTTCTTTCCAGACACCAGTGCCTGCCTGCACTTGAGTTACTCCTCTACCATCTTAGTCATCCTAAGGAAGTTATTCCTTCTAATATGGTTTGGTTTCAGTTTTGCTTTTCTTGATGTTCATGAAGTCAAATGCCAAGCTCCATCTGCAAGCTCAGGAAGATCTCTCTTCTACTTCAAAATTCCTTTCTCTTGCTTCTAGAAATCTCACAGGCTGCTCCATCCTCTCCCATGTCCTCATGCCAGTGCCCCTGCTCAAAACTGATTGCCACAATCAACTGTACTTACACTCATTCAAAATACATGAGGTATTTAATCTATGTATTTTTCTGTTAACTCTCAGAATGGAAAAGTATCTAAATCTCTCTATGTGGTATTTAAGATGACACTATATATAAACTAATGCTTAAAAACACAATACCTTTTTATAACCACACTAATTCATAGAGAAGAAATGCAATGAGAGAGGCCCAGATCAAAGATAAAACTATAAAGGTATGATTTTCAAATACTGTACTTGCATAATAATAAATAAGTTCCCCCAGAGAGCGATTACTACCTTGCAGCATATGAAATATGGTCAATACTTATGGGCTTCTGAGGTACATGCAATTATTCCTTTTAGCCCTCAGCTCTCTTGATGGGGGCTTCATGAAATTACTTCACTTAGTTCAGAGAAATGAAAATTGAAATCCTATTTGAGTTAAAAATATAAGAACTGTGAATTATGCTGTCTTAGCTAGTCCTGTAACTTCCATGTATATTGTTTTCCATACATTGCCTCTATACCAATTTGCTGATTAAAAGGCACGGAACTAGTCAAGAACAATGACAAATGTTTCAAGAGTAGGAAAAACTGGCTTATCACTTAAGAAAAATCCATACTTATCTCCATACATTCAACTTTTGAGGCCAAAAACTTCTGAACCAGGGCTGCATTCACCTAAGTGGCAATATAACCTAAAATGTCAACCAAGTTCACAAAAATGAAGTGTGCCCACCAGTGACCATAAATCAATCACTCTTAGCACTGCAAGTAGCTTTTCAAAAGGAGGCATTTTTACAGCATGCAGATCAAATCCATATAATTGGATTGATTTCCTTTCATCGTGTTGTTCATAAATTGGCTTTTTTTGTGAATTATTAGTATAAAAGTCAGCAACTCCATAAAACTTTGACAAATAAGTCTAATATTCTTTTATATCTCCTATTTATTTGTGGGGCAGGCAGGGTAAGTCAAAGCTCCCGTTCACAGGTTAACTCCCCAAATGCTCACAATAGCTGGGGTCAAAGATGGGAGCCACATACTGAATCCAGATCTTCCATGTGGGTGGCAGGAACTCAATTACTTGAATTATCACTGCTGCCTCCCAGGATCTGTACTGACAAGAAGCTAGAATCAGAAGCCAGAGCCAGGAATCAAACCCAGGCACTCTAATACAGAACACGCACTCCCTAGTTAATTTTTTAACAAATATTTTTACTGCAAATTTTATAAGTTTTGTGGAAACAAATACAAATGCCTAAATGGTTCATATATATATTTTTTAAAGATTGATTTATTTGAAAGGCAGAGTTACAAAGTGGCAGAAGCAGAGAGAAGGGTAGCGAGAGGTAGAGAGGTTCTAGGTTTACTCCCCAAATTGCCACAATGGCAAGAGCTGCATCAATCTGGAGCCAGGAGCTTCTTCTGGGTCTCCAAAGCAGGTGCAGGGGCCCAAGGATTTGGGCCCTCTTCTGCTTTCCCAGGCTATAGCAGAGAGCGGGATCAGAAGTGGAGCAGCTGGGACTTGAACTGGCACCCATATGGAATGCTGGCACAGCAGGTGGCAGTTTTACCTGCTACACCACAGTGCAGGCCCCTACATAAGTTTTTAAAACAAAAATAACCCTCAAATGTACCTGTCTTCCATAGAGTATCAACAATTGTTGCTACTAGTAGTGTTTTAGTGAATACCTTTAAGATTATGACATTTGCTCAAAAGAAGAATTGTGAGTTGTCAGTAAATGAAAAAACATCTAGTAAATAATAAGTATATTCTAGCATATTCTACCAATAACTACATTTTCTCCACAATCAGTAGTCACCTTGCCATGAACTAAAATGCTATTCCAGCACCTTCTAGTCTTTGTAATTTTCCTCCCTAGCACAAGACTTAACACTTACAAACTTTGTTGGATTTTTACTTAGAGCATCTATTCTTATCACAGGTACCTATGCTCATGCAGGTCCACAAAGTGGATTCTCCTTGTCCACAAACTGTTGAAGCCCAAACAAACTACAGCAAGACTACACTAGATTCTTATAAATGATCTCAGAATCACCGATGAGCACTCCCTGCCAAACACCAAGGTTAAGGCTTGATATGAGGTGATTGATTTTTTACCTTTTCTTTCTTCTCTTCTCTCTGTAACAATTCTTTCTTCTTCCACAGTTTCTCTCTCTCCTTTTCCTTTTCTCTTCTTCTCTCAGAAATTTCCATTTCCAACATTGCTACCTCTTCCTGGTGGGCTCGCCATTGAAGTACCTGAAGTAAAATTATTTTGTTCAAGTAATTATGCACACTAAGTGATTTCACATGAGACTAGGTTCTGTACTAAGCAGATGTCAAATTTTGTTCACATGCATATTTAATTTCTGTGTGCACATGCATATGTGACTTGCAAGTGTAAGACATGCGGGTGCTAAGTGTTAAAAGGCAAAAGCTTTAAAGTCTCTCAGAAATTTTTCACCTGGATTCATGGTAAAATTCTAAAAAGTCTGTGATTTGACTTCATAGGAGCTGTGGAACTGTGAATTCCCATAAATAGTATATAAAACTTTCTATATTTTTTCCACATGTGCTTCTCTAGAAAGTATGTCAAACAACTTTCAAGAATTCTCATGGTCCTAAGATTTTAAAAAGTTTAAGAGCTACTGATATATTTCGGCCTCATGGTAAGCAAAATGAACCTGAATTAAGATGAAAAATTTTAAGAAATTGAAAGGAATTTTCTGGGTACTGATGTGTTATCAGTAGTAACACACTTGATATAGTCTTCCTGTAGGGTACTAGGAAATATGGCAATATGTATAACAACATAAAATACATGTGCCTTTGACCCACAACCATACTTCTAGGAAATTATTCAAAGACAATTAAATCAGCTGTACAAGTGCACAAAAAATATACTCACAGGAATGTTCACTGCATTGCTGCTTAAAATAGAAATACTGAGAAAAGCTTAAATGTCTGGCAACAGAGGAGAGAGGAAGAAAGGAGGGAGGTAGGGTGGGAAGAATCGCTGTATTCCTAAATTTGTATATGTGAAATGCATGACGTTTGCATCCCTTGAATGTTTCTAGGTTTAAAAAAATGGCACTTATCCTAAACACTAATTTTTTGAAAGAAAAAATAATTAATGAATCCCCAAATGTATCTTCCAAAAAAAAAAGCTTTAATTAGCTATGGTACCTTCATGTAATGATTTCCACTGAGAAAGAGTGCTAAGTTTCTATAACTATTGACATAAATGTTTGCAACATATTAACTAAACTCAAATGTAAAATTGCATTTTCCGATCTCATTAATGTGAAAGATCATCTGTGTATGAACAGAAAGATCTATCAACATGGGAATATCTAATTTCATTGAATTAAACAAGTTTATGCTTAAACTTCTGTGAGGGACATTTTTGCAATAAACACATGGGGTCTTTGTAAGCAGGAAACCAATGAAACTAATGGAATAAAAGGATGTATATGGTCCATTACACACCTGACTGAGAAAACAGCAAGAAGAGAAATGTGGAGATGTGCAAACTTCTTTTTAGAAAAGTAAAAGAACTAGCATTCCCAATTAAATGTCTACTTTCTCACATATTTGATATAAGTATCATTTATTAATATGTAAAGTAAAACTGAATAAAATGTCCTACAAATATGATTAAAGTGACTTTAAATAGTTAACCTCTCTTTGCATTTATATTCAAAATTTTGTCCTGTTTAACAAAACTAAAGAGCTTCCTACTCCTTGTTTTGAAATACAGTTCAGGGCCAGTGCTGTAGTTCAGTGGGTTAACATCCTGGCCTGAAGAGCCGGCATCCCATATGGGCGCCAGTTCGAGACCCAGCTGCTCCACTTCCCATCCAGCTCTCTGCTATGGCCTGAGAAAACAGTGGAAGATGGCCCAAGTCCTTGGGCCCCTACACCCGCATAGAAGACCCAGAAGAAGCTCCTGGCTTCAGATCGGCACAGTTGAAGCCAACTGGGGAGTGAACCATTGAATGGAAGATCTCTCTCTGCCTCTCTTCTCTCTATGTAACTCTGACTTTCAAATGAATAAATAAATAAATAAGAAATACAGTTCAGTTTCCCCACCAGCAGCTTATCATGGCATCATATTTGCCTTCTTTAGAACCCCATGCCTAGACAGATCACCTGAACCTTCTGACCCAGCCTCCTGTTTACAACCTTTTTTTTTCTGTAATTCATCTTCTATCTGTAAGTTGCTCCAGTGAAAATCAAATGTCTTGTCCAGTATTGCTGGTGATATTCCTCCTCTCTCCTCCCCCCTGAATATCCAAAGAACTGTTCTCAACTCCCCCTCATTTTTGCCCTCTCAGTGCTGCCTGACCTTCTTGACCCTCGCTTCCTATGTAAATCTCTTTCCTTTCCAGGTCATCACCGTGGTCTCCCTGGCTTCTCCACCAACGGACAACGCTCTGTTCATCCTACTTACTGTGTCTACATTAATACCCCCAGCCCCTCTCACTGGAATCAGTATTTCATGTACTTATCCTCTTCTATACATTTAGTGCTTCTCTGTATCTGACTATAAAATTTATATTACCAGCTCTTTTATTCCACAATCTAATCCTATAACAAATTGTGAAATACTTGGCTATTCACATGTGCACTTAAAACCCCAATATTTCCAAAATTAAGCTTACCATCTGTAATTTTGATACAATTTCACATCAAACCCTGAGCACCTTGCCTCTCCTTTATAAATATCCTGGCTTCAGCTGTGGAACCAAAAGATACCTTGTAGTTTAGATTTTAAAAAATCATTTATCCTCTGTCCTTAATGTGCTGTACATTGAGATTTAATGCTATAACGAGTACTCAAACAATATATTTCACTTTGTGTTTCTATGGGGGTGCAAACTGTTGAAATCCTTACTTAATGCATACTAAACTGATCCTCTGTAAAAAAAAAAAAAAAGAAAAGAAAAAAAAATTATCAATTCCCAACTTGACTCTCACTGGGATTAAACATGACAATAGGTCTGCTCTGATTTCATCATCATTTAAAAAAATCATCTATTATTTTTCACTTTGTGTTTCTGTGTGGGAGCAAACTGTTGAAATCCATACTTAATGTATACTGAGCTGATCTTCTGTATATTAAGATAATCGAAAATGAATCATGATGTGAATGGAAGGGGAGAGGGAGTGGGAAAGGGGAGGGTTGTGGGTGGGAGGGACGGTATGGGGGGGAAGCCATTGTAATCCATAAGTCGTACTTTGGAAAATTATATGCATTAAATAAAAGTTTAAAAAAAAAATTAAAAAAAAAATCATTTATCTACATGACTTTATATTTCCCATTTGTGGAAAATAATAACTCAGCTGAGTTTATTTCATAACAAATCAATTTCCAACCCTTTGAGCTTGATTGTAGGTCCCTAGATTATTCAATCCTCCCAGAAAATATATTTAGAACAAGACCAGAGAGTTCACAAGGGTGACTTTCAATTGAGAATTCTAGGATTTAAATAAGTTGGTGTTCCCACTCCCAACTGTGCCCCATGTAATCTCTAGTTAAGTTTCCTCTTGTGCCCTCACTTACATGGCCATTTTTATTCTTAGCTTCATGGAGTGATTCCACATTTGGAATGTACTCAAGTACCTCCTATTTTATAAAATGCTCATTATTCACATTTTCCATGAAACATATCCCAACTGATGCTCCTCTCTTTGCTTATTTCACTTCCCAGACACAACTCCTATTTAATTATTTTCAAAATATTATTTCCACTAAGAACACAATCCATGTATCTGCCTTCCCTCTATACTATACCTTACATTAGCAGAGCACTAAAACATCATGGGTGCTTCTGGTCACTTTTCATTTATTTAATTCATTGAAATAATGTAATATGTATTTAATTTAATATTTAATTCATCAAAATAATGTTAATATTATATAATATATTTAATTCACCAACCTAATGTTAATATTAGAATACACTATGTTGAAATAGCTGAAGAAATAGATCCTAGTAAAGTTTTCAGTATCCATTAATGATCATTAACAGTTAATGGAAAACTTTCCAATGAATGGATCTGGCAACAACTGAACACCCTGGATAATCTTAACATCAGAAAGAAAGAAGCGGACATTTTGCCTCAATGGAAGCATACAGGATTCCTATGATTTTCTTTCTTTTTTTTTCTTGGCAAAGAAAATCATGAATCAGATCAAATCTCTAGATCTACCTATTAAGCCATAGGTGTTTCAGCCACCCAAAAAACATATTGGACAATTGCATATGGGGACATAATCATCAAAACTGACATCTGAGAAAGTTTAAGAGACTGAAAATCACACATACACAAAATAAGGGAAGAATGGTTATGAACTGAAAGATCTAGGAAGTAAATCAACCAATGTGATGTGGATTATGTTTAGATTCTGATTTGAATAATCCAAATGAAAAACAAAATTGAATTATTACAATACTGACTGGTTAATTGATGCTATTAATAAAATACTGTTAAAGTTTGTAGATGTAAAAATCGTATAGTTACACTCCTTTAATTTTAACTTCAGAGCTATATAATATCAACACAGAGAATGATATGATTTCTGGGATTCTCAACATTATTCGAAGGGCAAATGAGAGTAGGTTTGAGTTTAGATGAAATCAAATCTAAGTCAACAGAACTTTTTGTATGTTTAACATTTAAAAAAAAAAACATAAAATGTATGCCCCAAAAGACAACTTATTATAAACTCTGTAGTCTCAAGTTTCTAAGATAGTAGGAGGGAAAGTTTGGGATGCATCAAATTATTGAAAAAAGAAATATCAGAGGCAGGGGTTTGGCATGCTGGTTAAGTTGCCACTTAGGATGCCTGTATCTCATATCAGTGTGCTTGGGTGTGAGTCGAGACCCCATTCCTCTTCCATTCCAGCCTCCTAATAATGCATGACATGGAGCCGGCGCCGTGGCTCAATAGGCTAATCCTCCACCTTGCGGCGCCGGCACACCGGGTTCTAGTCCCGGTTGGGGCGCCGGATTCTGTCCCGGTTGCCCCTCTTCCAGGCCAGCCCTCTGCTGTGGCCAGGGAGTGCAGTGGAGGATGGCCCAGGTGCTTGGGCCCTGCACCCCATGGGACACCAGGAAAAGCACCTGGCTCCTGGCTCCTGCCAGGATCAGCGCGGTGCGCCGGCTGCAGCGGCGGCCATTGGAGGGTGAACCAACGGCAAAAGGAAGACCTTTCTCTCTCTGTCTCTCTCTCTCACTGTCCACTCTGCCTG